TCTTAAATTAGTGTCAAACTTCATATGCTGAGACATACTGATGTAAGCTATTCAACTGCGTCAACATTTTTGATCTTGACCTTTCCTTTGACCTTGACCTCACTTTTCTCAATTTGTGTTTAACTCAGTTTTAAAGAAACCATCCATAATATTTTTATCAAACTTCATATGCTAATATAACATTTTGACCTTTCCTTTGACCTTAAGCTCATTTATTTCAAATTAGTGCTTAGCTCAGTTTTAAATAAACCATTCAAAATATTTTTATCAAACTTAATATGATACGTATTTGTGAAAACTATTTAACTGCATCAAAAACATTTGACCTTGAGCTTTCCTGTGACCTTAACCTCACTTTTCTTAAATTTGCATTTTTCTTAGTTTTAAAGAAACCATTTAAGATATTTTTATGTAAGTTTATGCGCTTATACATAATTTGGTGAGAATTTATCATCTATATCCAACTTTTTAGCTCTTCTGAGCCAAAGAACTAATGCTATGGCTATTTGTGCGATGAGCGTAAACTTTTTAGAATATTGGCCATAACTCAAGAACCCCTTGGTCAATTATTGTCAAATTTGTCGCAGGGTATCCTTGGTCCAAGGGCTTCCATTTATACTAAAACTATGCAGCAATGTTAAGGCTTCCCAAAGCTTTGAATGCATTCAAAACATAACACTGCATTGCAAGGTCGATTTTTATTTTTATTTGTAAGTTATGTACTTAAGTGCGGCCAATTTATATACAGGGTTCTCTAGGCTATATATAAACGTATTTGTTATGATATCACATGACCTCGTTGATCATGTGATGGTCATTTCTACTTTTTTGAAGTGTTTCACATAACTCGCTTCAGCGCAGCTGATTAACAAAATTATTATTAACTTTTTGTCACATAAATAAACTTGTCGCATCCTTGTGAACCCGGAATGTGCTTGGGAAAAGTTATACTATTACTCTGGTACAAAATATTTCACAATAAATTCAACTTACCGACAAATTTGATGGTAATTTCCACTCAATATCATCATATGTATTAAAACAAAGCCATCACACATTTTTCTCAAGCAAGATTCAGTTAGGGGGGAAACTCCTCTTACCGATTTCCACAAAAGATCTCAAATAAATCATCATTAATCACCTGCGCCAGGCTCTTTTATACTCATTTTTTAAATTCTACTTCCATCCAAGGCTATGAAAAAGGGTGGATGTCAAACGTATATTATATGCAGATTGAAATAAGATGTTAAGGTTTTGACACTCTCCCCATCATAAAAGCTCAAGTTTGCAGTGACTTGACGTCATTTTCAATTATGACGTCATACATTTGTAGTTCAGAGAAGTGAAGGCACAGAGTACACTGCAATATTCTCTGGGAAGCCTTAACGTACCTGCGTAGGGTTGTGACCCTTAAACAAGGGGAGATGATTAAGTAAATAAAACCAAAAGTACTGGTTGTTAAAAAATCTTCTCAAAAACCACTGGGCAGATTATCACCAAACTTACACCAAAGGAAGAGGACATGTTGTACATTGAAATTTGCACGGGGAATTGCCCTGCGTCAAAGGGTGTGGTCTCAAGGTCACTTCAAAGTTGACCAAAAATTACATTTTATTAAAATGTTGATATTTTGCTTACTATAAGTACTAGGATCATCAAATCTTGTCAGTTGATGCATCTAAGGAGCTCATATCATGTTGACTCACGATGACCTACTTTTTAAAGAGCAAGAGCCACTTAGGGCCTTTTTTGGCCCTGTGAATTTCTAAAAATTCAAACCTGTATAGTTTTAATTAACAAGGCAATAAATAATATTTGAGCACTTGTTGAATGAATATCTACTGAAAATGACGTAATTTTCTTTCTAGTCAATGCATTATGACGTCATGAATTGCGTCATTATTCACATATCCTGAATATTTCTTCAAAAATGGTCAAAATATGATGCAATTTTTCAATATTTCGTGTACAGCACAACCTCAGATCCAAAATGTGTAAATATATTATAAAAGAACTGTTAATGAAGATTATAAAACATATCTTAATTTCTGGATCGAGGGGTGTGCTCATATTTTAATTCTTTGCTGAAGGTTCTCAAAAACACCCTTTTTCTGCAAAATTCAATAACATTGCAATTTCACACAACCTGTGTTTCAATGCCTGGACTCTTCAAAGGAAATTCTGCTATATAAATTGGGAGCACTAAGTCTCTTCTTTATATTAATGTTGAAAATGGTACACGGGGTATTAGTCAATAAATTGGTATATCTACAGGGCCACTTTATGCATAAAGTGAACCTAGCCCTTTTGCGGCCATTCTTTTTCAAAATGATTTAGAGGCATATTTTGAACAATTTAAGGCCTATATTATGTATGTATATTTTGAACAATTGATCATCAAACTTTGTCAGTTGATGCATCTTGGGTCCTCAGAGTACGTCAACTAAAAAGTAGGTCAAGTTGACCTACTTTTTGAGTTTATAGCTAATCTTTTTCAAAACATTTAAGGCCATTAATTCAAATACTGAGAGGTTTAGAATCATTAAATCTTGCAAGATGATGCATCTTGGGGCCATAAAACATTTATTAAAAAGAAGGTCACAGTGACCTACTTTTTGAACTTTGCAGGCATTTGATTTCAAAGCATTTTAGAACCATATTTTGGACATTTTAAAGCCTATGATCAGAAAACTTTGTAAGTTGATGCATCTTGGGTCCTCGAAAACCATCAACTAAAAAGTAGGTCACCATGAAATTCAAAATTTAATGGCTTTATTTAAATACTTTGGGTACTGTTTGGCTTAGAATCATCAAACTTTGTCAGTTGATGTATCTTGGATCCTCAGAGTAGGTCAACTGAAAAGTAGGTCACCATGACCTACTTTTCAATTTATATGGCTATAATTAAATATTTTGGGTACTAATTGACTTAGAATCACCAAACTTTGTCAGTTGGTGCATTTTAGGTCCGTAGAGGTCTCTGTGACCTATTTTTGAAATTTTATGACTTTATATAAATATATCAGGTACTAATTGGCTTAGAATAATCAGACTTTGTCAGTTGATGCATCTTTGGTCTTTGGAGTATGTCGACTTAAATCTAGGTCACTCTGACCTACTTTTGGAATTTTAATGGTTATATTTAAATATTTTTGGGTACTAATTGGCTTAGAATCATCAAACTTTGTCAGTTGATTCATCTTTGGTCTTTGGAGTATGTCAACTTAAATGTAGGTCACTCTGACCTTTTTTATTGCTTTATTTTAATATTTTTAAGTACTAGTTGGCTTAGAATCACCAAACTTTGTCAGTTGATGCATTTTAGGAATGTAGAGTCAGTCAACTTATAAGTAGTTCACTATGACCTATTTTTAAATTTATGGCTTTATGTAAATATATCAGGTACTAATTTTCTTAGAATCATTAAACTTTGTCAGTTGATGCATCTTTGGTCCTTGGAATATGTCAACTTAAATGTAGGTCATTCTGACCTACTTTTGGAATTTTTATGACTGTATTCAAATATTTTCGGGTACTAATTTGCTTAGAGTCATCAAACTGTGTTGGTTGATGCATCTTGGATGCTTGTAGTACATCGAATAAAAAGTAGATCACTATGACCTGATTAAATATTTTCTCAGGTACTAATTGGCTTAGAATCATCAAACTTTTGTCAGTTGATGCATCTTGGATCCTCAAAGTATGTCAACTGAGAAGTAGGTCACTGTGACCTACTTATGAAATTTTATGGTTATAATTAAATATTTTAGGTATTAATTGGCTTAGAATCATCAATTTTTGTCAGTTGTTACATTTAGGGTCCTTGGAGTATGTCAACTGAAAAGTAGGTCAACATGACTTACTTTTAAAATTTTATGGCTTTATATAAATATTTCAGGTACTATTTGGCTCAGAATCATCAAACTTAGTTCATGCATGTTAGGTCCTCAGAGAATGACAAGTGATAAGTAGGTCACCATGACCTACTCTCAGATACTAATTGGCTTAGAATCATCTTGGGTTCTCAGAGTGTTTTATCTAAAATGTAGGTCATGATGACCTACCTTTGAAATTTCAAGGCTTTATCTAAATATACAGGATACTTAGAGGCTTCAAATAGAAGTGATAGGTTGTACAATTTATTAAGAGCGATTCAAGGCCCTTGAGCCTCTTGTTAGACTTCAATTTCAATTTTAAAGAAACTATTCAAGATACTCTCTCAAATTTCATACACTAATACAAATTTTCATGTTGCATTACTTATATACCCTTGGCAGGGCATTCATGTCCTATGGACATATTTCTAGTTTTATTTTTTTTAATTAAAAAATATAATATGATTTACTTTAATGATAAGCTTTGGAGAAATACCATTGGCCATTTAACATTACTTTGTGAATTTGGAGACATTTTTGTGACCATTTTTCAGTTAACTAATTGCTGATTTTCAACACCTGTGGATTGGATGACTTTCTGACCCTGTTTTATTAAGATCATATTGATACAAGTTCTACAACAATACAATTTGATATCTTGTGTATATTGTTAAGTTTAATCAAAAAATTCATTTTAATTTTAGAAAGTTGTTGAAATATTAGTCCCCAAGGGACTCTACAGCCCAGTAACCTAGTACTTCAGTACTAGCTTGGAAATACAGATATATATTTAATTGCTGTGGTAAAATTTAGAAATTTATTTCAAAATTAAGGATTATCTCCTTCAGGCATAGCTCTGATCCTTCGACTTAATTGGCTCCAGTCTTTGGCACCTTTTTTCAGCTCTTCCAATTTTTTTTATTTAAATATTTTGGATTTCCAACATTTCTGTTTGAGCATCACTGAGGAGACATAATTTGTTAAAGTGCGCATCTGGTGCATCAAAATTGGTACCATAAATGATTTACATATTGAAATTTTTTTCCGAGACTTAAAGATTTGGAGGGATTCATTTCATGGACTTTTATGATATCAGAGATTTATGTACACTTAATATGTTTTCAGTACCAACCATTAGGCCAAAGAATTTTGCATTAGATGAAAACTCTACCTTTACACATGAAACAGCTACATTTGTTTGGGATGCAGTTCCGTCTAACTCTACCGAGTTGAAAGGAAAGTTTGATGGATATGTTGTAAGTATTAGAATAATGAAAGTTATGATTTTTTTTTTTCCATAATTAAGAAAAAGTGTAATATGCATTTAATTTGTTGATTTCATGCATCTTTAAACAAAACCTCTTCTCCCTATTTATTCTCTTTAGAGAAGTGAACAATTTTCATATACATTACCAACCAGACCCAACCTGACACCCAAGCAGTCCCTGAGACTGTACCAGAATGCAAACCTAGCAGTCCCAGCAATCTCCCTGACTGCCTTCTGGGACTGCTATGTTCACTCATGTGTGAAAAAGGTTCATGGTGACATGATAGCTCCACCCTTTCCATACTCAAAATTTGCAAATTATCTGCTGTAGTTTCGTTTACTTTCACCAGAGAGGTTAAAATGTAAAAAATTAAAGAAAAGAACAGTTTTCATTTTAAATTTTTATGCCCCGCCATGAATATGGCCGGGGCATGTAGATTGTCATGTCTGTCTTTTGTCCTCCTGTCCTTCCTTTCGTCACCCTTTACATTTAGCTCAGTTCAAAGCTCAGTTTTAAAGAAACTATTCATGATAGTATAATCAAACTTCACAAGCTGATACATACTGAAGTAAGCAATTCAAATGCATCAACATTTTTTTACCTTGACCTTTCCTTTGACCTTGACCTCACTTTTCTCAAATTAGTGTTAAGCTCAGTTTTAAGTAAACCATTCAAGATATTTTTATCAAACTTTATATACTGATACATACTGATGAGAGCTATTCAACTGCATCAACATTTTTGACCTTGAACTTTTCTTTGACCTCACTTTTCTTAAATTAGTGTTAAGCTCAGTTTTAAATAAACCATTCAAGGTATTTTTATCAAACTTCATATGCTGATACATACTTACGAGAGCTATTCAACTCCATCAACATTTTTTGACCTTGATCTTTCCTTTGACCTTGACCTCACTTTTTAGGTCACCTGAGTCACTCAGGTGACCTGTTGCTATCTGTTTTCGTCCGTCGTCGTGCGGATGTACGTCATGCGTAAACTTTTCACATTTTCGACTTCTTCTCAAGAACCACTGGGTCAATTTTCACCATACTTGCCACAAAATTTCATTGGGAAAAGGTGATTCAAATTTGTTCAAATGAAGGGCCATGCCTTCTTCCAAGGGGAGATAATTAAGAATAAGTGAAAAATTAATGGTATCTTTTAAAAATCTTCTTCTCAAGAACCACTGGACCAGGTAAGATAAAACTTATATGGAAACATCCTCAGGTAGTGTAGACTCAAGTTTGTTAAAATCATAACCCCCAGGGGTAGGATGGGGCCACAGTGGACAATCAAAGTTTTACATAGAAATACATAGAAAAAATCTTTCAAAATCTTCTTCTCCAGAACCACTGGGCCAAGAAAGATGAAACTTAAGTGGAAACATCCTCTGGTAGTGTAGATTCAAGTTTGTTCAAATCCCCCAGGGGTAGGGCGGGACCACAATGGACGATCAAAGTTTTACATGGGAATGCATTGGAAAAATCTTCTCCAGAACTACTTCTCAGAAACTTTTCTTAAATTAGTGTTTAGCTCAGTTTTAAAGAAACCATTCAAGAGAGTATAATCAAACTTCATATGCTGATACATACTGAAGTAAGCTATTCAAATGCATCAAGATTTTTTTGACCTTGACCTTTCCTTTGACCTCACTTTTCTTAAATTAGTGTTTAGCTCAGTTTGGAAAAAACATTCAAGATAGTTTTATCAAACTTCATATGCTAATGCATAGTGATGTAAGCTTTTCAACTGAATCCACATTTTTTTACCTTGACCTTTCATTTGATCTTGACTTCACTTTTCTCAAATTAGTGTTTATAGCTCAGTTTTGGATAAATCATTCAAGATATTTTTATCAAACCATAATATGCTGATATGTATTAGTAAGAGCTATTCAACTGCATCAAAAACTTTTGACCTTGAACTTTTCTGTGACCTTGATGTCACTCTTCTTAAATTTGCATTTTGCTTATAATTGAAAGAAACTATTTAAGATATTTTTTTATGTAAGCTTATGCACTTGCACATAATTTGGTGAGAAATTATGATATTTATCCAATTTTTTAGATTTCAATTTTAAAGATATTCTCATCAAACTTCAATCACTAACACAAATTTTCATGTTGCATTGCTAATATACCCTCGGAGGGGCATTCATGTCATATGGACATATTTCTAGTAATTTGTAGGGATAGTTACTGAAAAAATGGGATTTTATGTACATGTGTAAACTGCCGACTTTGGAAGCTCATAGAACATTAAAAGTCTTCAAGGGCTGTAAACTTACAGCACTTGATCTAGAATTAATCAGAAAAATTTAAGTTGTTTTGGCAGTTTAAAAAACTCAAAGTTTGCAATTCTAAAAAAAGATAAACCTGTCATCACAGTTAGATATTCAGAATGACATACTGATTTAGATTTTTTTTAATTGAAAAAGATAATATCACACTAATTAAAAAAAACATTCAATGCTATTTTTTTCCACCTTCAAAATAAATTTAATAATTAATTAAATGTCCATGATATAAAATTATTTTACCATTCTTCCATCACATAACAATGTGAAAATTCATGAATTTATTTATCAATTGATTTTTAACTTATAAACAAGTTGTTAAAAAATGTATTGATTTTAAAAAAGTAAGCATTTGAAAAATATTGGGAAAAGAGTCTTATTTATTATTGGTTTTGTGTATGATTGAGAAATAAGAACGATATTGCCTTGCCAATTAATTAAAAGCCATATACATATATATGTCGTGAAGTATCAACACCTGAGGTTCCAATCACCACTGGGCATGCTTAACAGAGAGAGTCCTTGCATTTTATTTGAGTATCATTAATTGTTACACATCACTGAACATGCTGGTTAACAATGGCACTAACTTCAATCTTCATACTGCAAATATCCTTGCTTCAATAAACGATAAAAACTTATTTCTGGATTATTTAAATTGGAAGATAATCTGAGGCTACCATATTCACTTGCTTGAATTACATTGAAATGCTTATTCTTGAAATTAGTAAAATTGTTTTCTGTTACATAATAAGATTCTACCAATAATAAAATCGGTAAGTCGGTGAAAATTATCACAGGCCTGTTTAATCTTAGGATTTCGCCATATTTTCTATGGATTTTGAGTCCAAAATACGTCTAATGTTTTCTTATTATGAAAATACGGAAATCTGTTTTGATTTTAGCAGTTAATTTTCAATATGATCTGTCCCAGTTTGACGTTTTTTTTATCACTAAAAAATGAGATAGATTTCAAACACTTCAGTGATGTCAGGTTGCCAAAATGCGGTGGTTTAAAAAATGACAGAAACCCCTCGAAAGAAAGCAAGTTATGATGTTTTTCATTATTATTAAACCATGTTTTGGTAATCAGAAATGTAGTTGTTCTCTAGTAATAGATGTAAAATCGATGGAAAGTGAAATCTTATGGGCAAATGACAAATCTCACTAACAAATCTACTAAAAATACTGAGAGACAACAGTATGGGTAAACAGGTCTGTAATCATTTATTAGTCTGCAAAATTGAATAAAGAATTTTTCACAAGCTCCAACACCAATTAAAAATGCATTCAGAGTAATATGGAAATAGGCTTTGTTTTGTAATCCTAAAACCTATTTTTAGATAATTCTGGCATTAAAATACTGTAAAACGAGATTTTAGTGCACATGCAAGTGGGAATGCATTAGCGCAAATGAATTTTAGCACTTGCGCTTGTCATTAAAATATATAAATGTCATATTTTTTTCTTTGATCCACGTCCCGTATTTGATTTTGTGGTCACTCAAGCACGCAAACACAATAGCATTGATTTCTACCTCACGTACACAGGTAAACATTCATTCACTTTTCCGTGGTGTTGCAAGCACATGGACGTGACACAATGTTGATTTTAAACTTTTTTTGATAAAAGAAAATGTAAATGTACTTCAATAAATGATTATGGGATATCCACGCATTTTTTTCATATTAAAACCATGTATGAGTTGAAGGAAAGTTACTTGGATAAATGGTAAACATAATCAGGTATTGTCTGCAAGATCGATCACCAAGTTTGCTTGCATTGTTTACCTTGAGGTGATAGATAATTGACATGGTTAGAAGCCCAACTTTGAAGGTGCTAATGATAATTACTGGGTAACAACTAACAATAGTTTAATTCATAATTCTGCAGAACTTTCTCCATAAATCCTCCAGTTTACCAGTGCAAGTGTGTATACAAAAATACCCTACAACATTACAGGTTCCGGTTTACCTATTCATAAGAATTGCTTTGAACACAAAAAAGTTAAATATTTAGAAATCTGTTAGCACACAATAAATTTTAGCGTTCGGGGCCACTCATTCCAAACCATATCATGAGATATAGAGTGTGACAGATGGACAGACAGATAGACAGACACCGGGTAAAGTGATCCTTTAGAGCTGCTCTGCTCTGCAGGCAACACAAAAAGTAGATCACTGTGACCTTCTTCTTGATAAATTTGTTTTAAGGCCCAAGATCCATCAGCTTGCAAGGTTTGATGATTCCAAACCTCTCGGTATCTGTAATAATGACCTTAAATGTTTTGAAAATGATTAGCCATAAAATTCACAAAGCAGGTCATGGTGACTTACTTTTTGTTGACACACTTTAAGGCCTCATGATACATAAACTGACAAGTTTTGATTATCATAGATTTTAAAGTGTCCAAGATATGCATCAAAATCAAATTGAAAATGAATACTAGCAAAATTCAAAAAGTAGGTCACCATGACCAACTTTTGAGGCAACATGACATGAGGTCCTAAGATGCATCAACTGACAAGATTTGATAATCATAATCCTTATAGTTAGCAAAATATTGAAATTTTAACAAATCATCATTTTTGGTCAACTTTGATGTGAACTTGAAAACAATGTTGATGAAGTTGTAGTGATAGTTCTCATCACTATGTATCAGCACATTAGGATTGGTAAAAATATCTTGAAA